TGAGGTAATATCTCACAATTTTGACTTTTCTTCTCAGAATTGCGAGTTTATATCGCGCAATTGTGAGTTATTTGTTTCAATTGTGAGAAAATGTAATCAGAATTGTGTTAAAATATTATTATAATGATGTAAAATATATAATGATTAATGTAATTATTTTGTATTTACTTTATATATATATATATATATATATATTTTTTTTTTAATATTTCTATATTTAGAATTGTGCCTCTTTTCTCGCAGTTCTGAATTTACATCTCACAATTCTGAATTCTTTTTTTTCTGTCATGGATTAAAAAAATAAATAGGTAAATGTGACATTTTATCTCGTAGTTGCGAGTTTGTAAGTCTCACAATTACGACTTTTCTTTGCAGAATTATGTGTTAATTCTGAGATTATATCTCGCAATTGTGACTTTCTTTTCTCACAGTTGCGAGTTTTCTCAGAATTTCGAGTTAATTCTGAGTTTTATGTCTCAGTTCTGAGTTTATATCTTGCAATTCTGAGTTTTTTTTTTTTCAGAATTGTGAGGAAATGTCAGAATTGTGAGATTATAAACTCAAAATTGCAAGAAAAAAGTCACATATTTTTATTTTTTATCCCTTGTTTTTTTTTTATATCTAATCTGAAAACAAATGTGAGATTCCTTGACTTTTCAGGCACAGACCTTTAGCCTTTTATATACTTATTCGTTTAAGTATATATCTGTTATAACTTTCAAACTGTCAGGCGAGCATTCTGAGTTTGTATTGACAAACTTTTCTTGCCTAGTTTAAGTTTCGTGCTGTATCAGATGAACTGTGAAAGTTTCAGATAGATTTCAGTTCCTGGATTCCTCCATAACTTAACAGCATGGTTGATAGCTGTACTCGTTGCGGTATCATATTTAAGGGTTTTCCTATGTGCAGCCTTCCTCTGAGACTCTGCACTGCTGCTTTAACATTAGGATGGTTGGCTTAATGTATTTTTCAGAAAAGGAGCCTCATGGTAAATTTCTCAGTAGCATTCTGTACATTGATAGGGAACGGAGCAGTGCTACAAGACCATCAGAAGACAAAAAGTTGGTTTGCTTTCACAGTCACTGGGCAACAGACTTTCTCTGATCATGTAAACAGTAAACCCACAACCCTCAATAGAGCCCAGTGGTCACCTCTAGAAACCACACAGCTGAGACCAGTACTGGTGAAGGGAGCCTGATAATCACCCAGACAACTGGGACAGAATGCTTTTGAAGCATACAATGACAAGGCCAGACAACACAACCATAAACGTATGCCTATGTCATCGATTATTAATAATGCTGCTATATTTGGAAAGACGGTATGATGTTTGATGTCGTAATGTTATTGTTGCTCCCAAGACTATTTAGATTGACTTTGAAATGAGACCAAAGGTCATGCACCTTTTTGTGGAAAATATTGATTAGTTCCAGACTTTAGATTGTGGGTGGATCTCTTAAAAGCTGTCAAGAACAATTTTGGATCATATTGTAAACAACTTTGTATTGTAAAAATTATATTATATTATTAATGTATATTGAAAATGAAGCCTATTTTTGTACCATTACAATTAAAATATAGATAGATAGATAGATAGATAGATAACTAAGTTAAATTGAAAATGGAAAATAGAAAAAAAAAACTAAAACTAAGTTAAAATGAAATGGAAAATACAAAAATAAAACTAATAAAAATGTAAAAAAAAAAAACGTAATGTTAAAATGAAAATGGAAAATAGAAAAATATGAATAACTATAATAGTCTTGATATATATATAT